GATTATTTAATAATTTATTTACTCTTGTATGTGAAGGCTAGACATACTGTAGGTATTGCATGAATGGCTTCGTTAAACATTTATTGAAACCTTTTAAATGTTTGACGTCTAGTCTTATGTGGAATAAGAGGACAAAGAATATTCTTCAGGTATTAAATTTTGATGACATTTAAAAGCAAATGGATTTTGAGTGCATTTTAATCGCTTTCTTAATGTAAATGTTAAAAGTTATGAAATATTCGTGATATTTTTGATATAACAATTCGTTAATGCATTACGTGTTTAAATAAAAGTGCAATTTTGGGATTATTTCTATAAATGTTTTGCTCTAAAATCAAATTCAATTCAATCATTACAAAACAATTGCATTGAAAAACAAATTGTTTTTAAACCTTGTTTTTATACAATATTGTGATGAGATATATAAATAATTCATATACTATTGTAATGCATATGCGATGAAATCTAAATCCTTCTGAATTATTCTTCTTATGGTAAATAATATACCAATTGATGCCTAAATGGATTCACAATTGAATTTACAAATAGATAATGTATGAAATGTTTTCTTCCATTCTTCAAATTCATTTAAATTAAATCTTAAAATATATTTCACTAAAAAACTGAATCAAACAACTAATGCAAAACTTGAGTGGTTTCGGGAATTATTATAAAAATTACTAAAATATAACTAATAATTGTTTAGATTTTGTTTGCAAACAAAAATCCAAATATAATCACAATCTCTTCTCTTCTTCTTTAACAGAAAGATTTCGTCGATTTGAAGAAACTATTGTATAGAAAGCTATTTATGTTGACGACAGTCAACACCGGCATCAGTGACGACCTTTAAATACAATACAAGTATACGATATACAGGAATACACACTAAAACAAAACCAACTGTTTCTACGATAATGTCATCACTTCTATCGGCGACTATTTATGAAGAATTTGTAAAATTATTTTCTAATTTATCCTCAAAAATAACATACTTTGAATTAAACAAAAACATCGCATAATTCCGACACAAATAGCCGGAGGACTGACTTGAAAACCAACTTTTCATTTGTATATTAATTATTATATGAATTTTTAATCCAAACAAAATTCAAATCAAATACTCTTTTCACATACATATTTGTCATAATTATATGTGATATTATTTTATATTATATAACATGTAATATATTTAAAACATTACAAAACAAATGTATGTTTTTTGGCCTCAAATGAAGGATACATTTCTTTTCCTCTTTCTTGTGATATTCGACATCAATATAACTGTACATTAGATTACAATTCAATTTACATAATATTCTCATTTATAACGAATTACACGGAAACACATATTTATATAATTATTACTATCGAATCGATCGTTAATTTATTTCTATTATTCACAACAAAATACTCTAAAAATTTCAATTTGATTAAAAATACATTAAATAAACAATTATATAAAAATGTCTAAATGATTACAATACAGGACTAATCACTAATACTACTCATTGTTTTAAACCAAGTTTTGACATATTTTTGTGGAAGTGATGAGGAATGGGTGCGTTCACGAAGATATTCTTACCATCGATGCCGGCGTTTGGCAGACAATACTGTTTGGCGTGTAAGTGCATCGGTATGTGTCGTACCTTTGATTGTCTCACATTCAACGCCAACAGCATATCGCCGGTCAACTTCTGGGGCGCTATTTTGTCCAAATGCGAGTACTTGTGGTCACCCAAAATCGGACACCGGAGTCCGAAACCCAAATGAACCCGAATCTGGTGTCGAATACCAGTTTCCGGCCACACCTGCCAACCAATAAAACAAGCAAATACTCTATAAATCAATTCATTTAATAAAATATACGCCAAAACAATACCTCAATGAGCGCCGCGTTGTCCGCGTGTGAGACCACTTTGTATTGAGTGACCGCTCGTTTGGCCTGTTTTGACGGTTTAATCTTATCGCGATATTCTTGAAGCGCTTCCGGCCTCAACACCATTCTCTCCTTACCATCGCATCGACCGATATCTACGGGTATATCGATAATGCCCTCGAGTTGGTCGGGCACTCCGCGAGTGATGCAAATGTATCGCTTGAGGATCTTATGCTCGCAAAACATTCGGTTCAACTCTTTGGCCTTTGCTTGGCTTTTGGCCAACAATAGCACTCCAGTGGTGTCTCTGTCCAACCGGTGAACAGTGTATAACTTCTCGCATCGCAGCTCTCGCTGTAAATGTGGCAAATAGTCGGTGAGGACGGGAGTGACCGGCGTTTCCTTCGTGTGAATAGCCATTCCGTACGGCTTATTGATGGCCACAATGTCTATGTCATCGAAAAGTACTGATTTCATGAGCAAAGCCTCGATGTCTTCTTTGGGAAACTTTGTAAAATCAAACACTTGTCCGCTTAGTATACGAAACCCTTATAACAGACAAATAAGGCATTCATTACAGTAACAAAACATATAAGTATTGCAAACAATGATTACCTTTAGAGTCGAGTTTCTCTTTGCCTAAACCGAGTTCTGAGCGATAGTTCTTCACCTCATCGTTAAACTTATGCGGATATTGAGGCCTCTCTTCGCCCGACTGGAGATCCGCCAGATATTGAGCGCCGGTTCTCTGTTTCTTTGAATAATCCTTCGTTACGGGTAAACAGTCCTCCAAACGGATGTCCTTTTGTTCATCTAATTTCTCTTTCATCAGTTTATTCTTCTCCAGCAGTTTGTCAATTGGTTTTTCATTCAAATCGCTATTTAATTCAAAGTCAAGCGAAAATAGCTCTGGTTTTAGAGGAGAATCAGTTGTACCACTCATTGCCTCGTTATTGTCTTTAAGAGGAGACTCGCGGTTGTATTGTATGTCTTGTATGTCATCGATATCTTCAATATCATTGCGCTTACGATGTCTGGCATTATGTCCGCCATAATGGCTGTCATCGCGGACTAGATTATGGAAAATGTTGTGCTCGTCGACAGACCTCTGCTCTAAGAACTCATTGAATTGTTGATTATATTTAAAATTAATCTTTCGTTTGATTAATGGCTCGACGTTTATGTTATGAAC